ACTGGTAGTAAAAAAATTTGAATCCCACCGCTGATGTGGTCCTGTCCACCATTAAATCATCTTTCCAAGCAGCCGCCATGTTTCCAGTGTCTTTCTCCCCACTTGGAACTGAACCCAGAAGTATATTTCTTCCAACAAATATGTCTTGTTTGGCGCTGTCACTGCTTGCGATGTGGCTGCAGAAATTTTCCATGATCCAGAAAGTAATGATCTTCATTCAGAAAATCTTCTGAATCTTCCAAGTTTAGCTTCATTTTTCTTCTTATTTTGTTCGGATTTTAGCTTAAGTCCCGGTGATATTTGAGAGCCCATTAAAATATAGTTCCCCTTTTCCTGCCTTCTAACCCTTGGCTGCTGAGACTTAACCTGAGAAATTATGGTTGTTAACTCAGTTTATGCTTGCCGGATTGATGTGCCGTCAAGTCGATGCGGATAGATCTGTCTCCCAATCTGGCCCTTCAGATCTTCCAGTGATGCCCCCATGGCTGCTGCAATTGAGTTAATTCACCTTGCTGCCAGCTGACCTCTTTCTTCCAACTTTTCCAGTATTAAAACACTAATTTTCTAAACGGCGTTGAAATAAAAATTAGGGTTTCCACTTAGAGCCACTAGGTGGTGCTCCAGTCCCTAAGAAATTCTTGCTTATTGTATTAGGGAAGTTGACTCCGAATAGTGAATAGTTTATATATTGTCAAGTAAAAGAGGATTATCTTGCTGAGGATAAGTGCTGTGATTTAGAAGCCTGCAGAGGATAGAATGTTTATTTCAGTTGATTGATTGATCGATTGATTGGTAGAAAGTTAGCACCCACTTCTCTCCTAGAAGAATGAAATGTTTTAGGAAATATTAAAAAGACAGAATATTATATTTCCCTAAAGGGATAATTAATGTTGACCTCTATATCGCTTGCTTGCTATCGGCTGCCGTAGTAACAGGGGGATGAGAGGTTTTCAGTATTTGGGAGGGGAAGTGCGCTGGTGGAGATGTCTTGGGATGAAGAGGGAGCTTTGGTTCTCACCATCTTCTGCGCATGCTGAATGGACTTGTTTAAGTCTGGTCAAGGACAGCCGTCTGCATACCAGATGGATGAAGCCACCTGAAGATGCACCCCACATGACAGCCTTGGAGGCTGCAGATTGGACATTCAGCTTGAGATTGTTGAGGGGAGGGATTTGGGTAAACTTTCGATATGTACAATTTCGCACCTTTAGCCTCAGATCTTGCTTTACTTCCATTGCTATCACTTTACATCCAGTAAAACTACCTTTTCTCTAAACCAATGGAGTTGGGGGTTTCCTTTCTTGGATTTTGAAAGAGGCACGACTGACAAATATGCTCTTGGAGAGAAGAATGTAGCCCCACCTTTCGTAATAGCCCTCAACAGATGTCAGCACTTAAGAGATAAAGAGGAAGATAGCTCTGTTCATAAGCAAATACCCTCACCCTCACTTCCAACAATGGTAGGATGATCCCTCAGCCACAATAGGAATTGCCCAACGCCCTTTCATTACATCACCCTCAGAAACTTCAACCAAACCGGGGAGCTTTAGCAACCTACATAGCCAGCTATGACCTTTACATGGCCCCATGGGAGTCTGACAACAACCAATAGAATACCTGTTCTTGCACAGGAACAGGAAGCTCAAGTGCAAAGCCCAAGAGAGGTTATAAAAGACACCCACTCTGAATTCCATGTGCTCAGCTAAACTAGAACCACGTGCTTGCTGGTTGAAGTTTCTGAGGGTGATGTAATGAAAGGGCGTTGGGCAATTCCTATTGTGGCTGAGGGATCATCCTACCATTGTTGGAAGTGAGGGTGAGGGTATTTGCTTATGAACAGAGCTATCTTCCTCTTTATCTC